GTGTTGATTAAATTATCTTGACTAAATGTAGGAGTTTGACGAGCGGAGTTCGCTGCCTACACACGTGTTTTTGTGATACCGCCTACTTTTGTTCCAGGTGGGTTCTAATCTAAAATTGTCTATGCCATGAATGATGAATGTTTATTTCTTATGGGTATGATCTATGTATGAATATGAAATATGTAGCCTATCGATGTGAGCTATTACGGTCGTCGGTATGGTTGTCCCCGTCGATGTAATACGGTTGCCCTTGTGAGGCAAGTCTCCTTAAGTCCTGATATGGCCGTGCCCTTGCGAGGTACGTAAGCCCATATGGAAGGCCGTGTCCGTAGCGTGGCATGTACTCCCGCCTTGGGGTAATGAATCCCCGTTCTGTGGCTAGCGATAGATGTGCACAGGAGTAATGTGGTTGTTGTGATTTCGATTGGAGATGAGACATGATGTGATTATCTTATATTCATGCCGCGACCATACCATTTGTCATATGTTATTTATGTGCATAGTAGTGAGCACTACTTTTATCTTGCGCTCACTCCCACCTGCTCTTCACGGATGCAGGTTAAGCAGGTGCCGGATGACGGGGAAAAGACGAGTGGGTTGGTCATGATTATTATGTTTATGATTTCACTTCCTTTATGAATAAAGTGTGGTCTTTGAGACATGTTGAACCGTTTTCAAAAATAGGCCATGTCGGGATTTTGGACCCTTTGTTTGATATTCGTATGAGAGTTATTTATGGATTATCACGTGTCTTCGATTATGCATACTATGTGGTTTGGCTAATAATCATGTGGAGTTGAATTTTATAAGGTTAATGAAAACCATGTGAACAACCAGATACGACTTGGTTGATGTTTAATGTTGTATAACGCCCATGATTTCGAAAATGAGTTCGAAAATTTTATACTGATTTTTAGAAAGTCCAGAATTTCTTGAAAATCAAGGTGGGGTGTTACAGTTTGGTATCAGAGCCAGTCTGCGTTTCTGTAGACTGGTTTTATATGTGATTATGTGTTTGGACCTTGTAATATGACCACTCGTCTCCGTCACTCCGTGCTGCTTAAGGTATGTTTTGTTTAAGTATTAATGAAAATACTTGTTATGTAAATGATGCACATGTAGTAATAAAACTACTCGTGTTGAACTTGTGATTTAGGGCTTAGGATCTATCCACCTTGATTTAATCAAACTCTAGTGTTTATTTGGCGAACTCTAGATTTCAGTAAGTATTGATTATTTTGTTTGTTTTGTGCTAACCTTGTGCGGATTATTCAATGTAGAAGTATGAATACTCGCAACAACAACCGTAATCGTCAGGTGATATGGGATATTATATACACAAAGCTAAACCGGTCTGTTGGGCCGGTCGAGAAGTTTAAACCAAGAGGGAGCCAAGCCAAAAGGCGGGAAGATCGAACATTCAGGGAATCGACCAAACTAACGATTGAGCAGTCCTCTGCACGACTAGACTAATGATCGAGCAATCCACCGCACGACCAGACTAACGATCAAGCAGTTCACCACACGACCAGACTAATGATCGAGTAACCCATCGCTCGACTAGATACATGATCGAGTAACCTATTCGACCTTAACAGGTCGATCGCTTCGAGGAACTAACAGTCGGCCTAGTCATGGGCGCGTGTATCACGGACGCGCGTGAGAGCCTCCAACTGAGTCCCAGGAGAATATTTACCCCATGTGCAGGGGGGACACGTGTCGACAATGTATTGGGTGATAGTGATAACCACCTCTGACAGCTCCTAACGCCCCGCGCCACCTCTGACATGTGCGCGGCGTGCCAGAGTACGGACGGGCAGCTTGGGCAGCCAGCTCATCCTTATCTGGGCAGCTATTAGGGCAGGTATCTCACCCCTATATAAAGGGGGTGAGCCTTTTTCCTTGAACACATTCTATTTTCCATACTTCACTTCAGTATACTCATACACATACTGACTTAAGCATCGGAGGCTCTCCACCGGATACAACCCCCGGTGTGAGAGTTATTTGCATGTTTCTTGTGTTTTACCGGCGAGGACCAGGATCTATCCATTCAAACCGGACCAGGACGCTTTCACTTGCATTATTGGCGCCGTCTGTGGGGATTCTTTGTTCAAAAAGTTATGTTTGAAGCTCAGCTATGGCGGACGGAATTCCTAAAAACTTGTAGTCGACGTTCGATGAAGCTTGGACGACGACCAGGCCGTTGGGGCACGACCCTACTCCGGGCTTTTTCGGCCCATCGCAGACGCCGGTCACTCCCGCACCTAACTTTTAAGGTGTAGGAGTGACGACAGTGATCCCCAGAGGAGATGCCAGCTCCAGTCAGGCCCAGGAGGCTCGTGTAGCAGCAGCAGCGGCGATGCCACCACCACCACCACCAGATCCAACACAACGGCAGGGAGGAGTGCTGGCGCAAGGAGGAGTGTCACCACAGGCATCCATACAAGCCCCCGGCCAACAAATGGTGGCAATTACCCGAGAGGAGATGCAAAGGATAGCGGCGGCCGCGGCGGTGCAGGCAGTGCAGCAAGTTGCGAGTCATACATCTCATGCCACCACTGGGCCGACCACGGGGGCCGGAAGCCAGGATGAGGATGTGTCTAGTTATGGGGAAGGAGGAGCTGGAAGAGATCGGGCAATGGAGAGGATGGTGGAGCAGTTGCGCCAGTTGCAAGACAAGGTGGAGGGGAGGCCAGAGAGGAGAGCTCGAGGACATCCCTTTTCAAGGGAGATTCTCGCTGCTCCTTTGCCAAACAATTTCAAGGAGACCAACTTGGTGTATGACGGGTCATCCGACCCATCGAGGCATGTGAGGACCTTTGAAAATATGGCTGTGTTGCATGGGTACTCTGTTTCTGTTTGTTGCAGGGCATTTTTATCGAACCTGCGTGGAGGAGCACTCGATTGGTTTCATCAACTTCCACCTGGGTCGATCGCAAGTTTTGAGGACTTTACTGGCAAGCTTATCAATCAATATTCGAGCGCGGTGGTGCAGGAGAAGACGTGTTTGACTTTGATGGCGATGAGGCAGGGGGAGAAGGAATCATTAAGGAAGTATGTTGCTCGATATAACCAAACATGTTTAGAGGTGCACTCGGCTTCGGACGAGGTGAAGGCGGGTGGATTGATAAGGAGTCTTCGAGCAGGGCCTTGTGGAAATTCCCTAGCAAAAACCCCTGCTCGATCGTATGAGGATGTGCTAAAGCGGTGTAGGAAGTATATTAATTTGGAGGAAATGGAGATGGAGTTTGCCAAGTTGGAGGAGTGGCTCGACCAGAGCCAAAGAAGGAGAAAAGTCCGCAGAGGGGGAGATCGCCGAGGAGGAATTCGCCCAAACGGAGTGGGCAGAAGAGGGCATCACCCCGAAGAGAGAGTCGAGATTCAAAAAGGGAGAAGAGAGATGAGTGGCAGAGGAGGCTGATGTTGTTCGAGAGACAGAGATACCACACTTTCACGCCCTTGAGGAAAGACATGACAGAGGTCCTCGAGGCCATGGAGCAGAAGATGTCGAGTGAGGATGTGACTTGGCCGTAGACGAGGTTTACGGGCCCAATTCTACCTAGGTCGGATATTTACTGTCGCTTTCACCGAGAATATGGCCACACTACGGAGAATTGCAGACATTTGAAAGATGAGATCGAGAGGCTGATTCGAGCGGGATATTTGAAAGAATTTATGTATCATGACAGGGTGAAAGGGAAAGGAAAGAGAAGGTGTAGGGAAGACTCGAAGGAAAGGAGTGATAGAGATGAGGAGGGAGATGGTCAAGACGGTCGAGGAAAGAAGCCAAGGAGAGATGGTGATAAGGGAGGGCATGGAGGAGAGGCCCCGATGAAGAGAGGAACGATTTACATGATTTTCGGTGGGCCAACGGATGGTGACTCAAACAGGGCCAGGAAGGAGCATGCTCGAGCGGTGAAGAGGAAGTGAGAGGAGGTGGGGATTATGGCTCGCATGCCGGTGATAAGTTTTAAGGCGGAGGATGCCGAGGGGGTGGTCCTGCCGCACAACGATGCTTTGGTGATAACCGTGGAGGTTGCAGGCTTCGATGTGAAGAGGGTGTTCATTGACACCGGAAGTTCGGTAGATGTGATGTTCTATGACTGTTTTGTACAGATTAACAAGGAGCTGAATATGGAGCTGAAACCGGTGACCACGACACTTTACGGCTTTAATGGAGGAGAAGTTATGCCGATGGGAGAGGTCAGTTTGCCCGTGGCATTGTGATCGGGAGAGTTGAGGAAGGTGCGCATGGTGAGATTTGTGGTTGTAGGGGCTGAGTCGTCTTATAACAACATCATGGGGTAGACGAGCTTGAATGCATTCCAGGCGGTCATATCCATGTACCACATGATGATCAAATATCCGGTGGGCGAAAATGTAGGGGAGATTGCCGGGGATCAGCTCACTTCGAGGAGTTGTTACCAAACAACAGTCAGCAATAACAAGCAATTGGCGAAGAGGCAGGCCGAGTCGAAGGGGGAGGAGATTAATCGACCAGGGGGATCAAGGTCGAAGGAGGATAAGCAGAAAGTGGAGAAAGGTAAGGAGAAAATGGATATCCAACCTGGGGAAGAAGTTGAGGAGATTCAAATGATCGAGGGGTGTGAAGGGAGAAAGTTCAGGATCGGAAAGGATCTGGAAGAGCCTATTCGGTCGAGGCTGATCCAGTTGGTTAGGGAGTTCGCTGATATTTTTCCTATACAGCAGAGGAGTTAACGGGAATAAGTGCGGAGGTGATCGAGGCCGGTGAAGCAGAAAAGAAGGCACCATGGGGCAGAGATGGATAAGATCATTGAGCAGGAGGTCGAGAAACTATTGGGAGCACGACATATTAAGGAGATTCAGTTCCCCGAATGGCTGTCGAACACGGTGATGGTGTCGAAGACGGAATGGAAGTGGAGGATGTGCATTGACTTCCGCGATCTGAACAAAGCATGCCCGAAGGACTTATATCTACTGCCCAGAATTGACCAGCTGGCCGACTCAATGGCAGGGTGCGAGCTGTTGAGCCTGATGGATGCCTCCCAGGGATACCATCAAATTCCCTTGGCGAGAGAGGACAGGAAGCGGGTGAGTTTCGTAACGAGTCGAGGGACCTATTGTTACGTGGTCATGCCGTTCGGCCTAAAGAACGCGGGCGCCACGTATCAAAGGTTGGTCGATAAAATCTTTAAGGAACAACTGGGGAGGAACATGGAGGTGTATGTGGATGATATGTTGGTGAAAAGTAAGGAGGAGTTGGATCACGTATGAGATTTGAAAGAAACGTTCCTAATATTACGGAGGTACGAGATGAAGCTGAATCCTGTTAAATGCTCTTTTGGGGTGAGGTCCGAAAAATTCTTGGGTTACTTGGTGACCAAGAGAGGTATTGAAGTCAATCCGGAGAAGGTTCGAGCTGTGATGGAGATGAAGTCGCCGACGAATGTTAAAGAAGTACAGATCTTAGCTGGTCGAATTGCGGGGCTGAGTCGTTTCATATCGAAGGTGGCGGAGAAGAGCGGCCCATTATTCAAAACGCTGAAGAAGAGTGCAAAATTCCAATGGACGGAGGAGGCACAGAAGGCATTCGAGGAGTTGCGAGGGGTGCTGGCTAACCTTCCATTATTGGCTAAACCCATACAGGGCGAAGAGCTAGTGCTATACATTTCTATTGGAGAGAGGGCTGTGAGTTCGGTGTTGTTACGGGAGGAAGGAATAGCGCAATTTCCTATCTATTATTTGAGTGGAGTGATGCAGGGGGCTGAGACGAGGTATTCGGAGATTGAGAAGTGTGCTTTAGCCGTGGTTGTAATTGCTCGAAAGTTAAGACCTTATTTCTTGAATCATAAGGTGAAGGTGCGAACGAATATGCCGCTGAGAGAAACACTTGGTCGGCCATCAGTCTCTGGTCGATTGGTGAAGTGGGCGGTCGAATTGAGTGAGTATTCTTTGATGTATGAGCCAAGGAGGGCCATAAAGGCACAGGTGTTGGCTGATTTTATCCAGGAAGGCACGAAAGTCGAGGAGGAGTCAGAGGGATTATGGCAGTTGTTTGTGGATGGATCTGTGGCCCGAAGCGGGGCAGGATTGGGAATTGTCCTTGTCTCGCCCAAAGGCGATTACTTAGAAGTTGCGGCTAAAGTGGGGTTCAAGATATCCAATAATGAAGCTGAGTATGAGGCAGTGATTAAGGGCTTGAGTCTAGCCAAAGCAGGAGGAGCTCGAAAATTGCAAGTGCATTCCGATTCTCAACTGGTGGTTGGGCAGTTTCAAGAAGGGTTTGAAGTCAAGGAGGATCGGATGCAAAAATATGTGGATAAGATGAAGAAGCTGAGAGAGGAGTTTGATTCGTTCAAACAGATATAAATTCCTCGAGGAGAGAATGTTGGAGCAGACCTATTGTCGAAGATTGCTCAGAGCTTGGTTGATTGCAAGAGTAGAAGTGTCACTCTGTTGCATCTTGAAAAGAGTGTGATCGAAGCAGAAGTGGCGGAGATCGAAGAAGTGGAGGATTGGAGGGCCCCGATCTTGGAGAAGCTGAGAGGAGGAGCGATAAAGGTGGTTAGGAGGTTTTTTGAGCATGGAGGCATTCTTTACAAACGATCATATGGAGGACCACATTTGCGTTGTGTTACTAAGGAAGAAGGTCGATACGTGCTAAGAGAGATGCACGAAGGGTGTTGCAGTGACCATAGTAAGTCAGGGGCCTTGGTCGCGAAGATTTTGAGGGCAGGATATTTTTGGCCGACGGTGAGAGAAGATGCGAAGACGATGGTGAAGAAGTGCTTGCAATGCCAAAAGCATGGCCCCCTTATCCACCAACCGGCCGAAGCCATGACAACGATGAGTGCTTCTATACCATTCACCCAGTGGGGTATCGACCTGGTGGGGCCGATGCCTCAGGGGACCGGGCAGAGGAAGTTCTTAATAGTGGCGGTCGATTATTTCACGAAATTGGTGGAGGCCGAGCCCTTAGCGAAGATTACAGAAGAGAAAGTAATTAAATTCCTATACAATAACATTTGTTGCCGGTTTGGTGTACCCAAAGTGTTGATTTCCGATAACGGCACTCAGTTTAATAGGAAGCGGACTCGAGCATGGTGTGAAGATATGAAAATCAAGCAACACTTTGCCTCTGTGGCGCATCCGCAAGCTAACAGCCAGGTCGAGGTAACCAATCGAATTGTACTGAATGGGCTGAAGACAAAGTTGGAGAAGGCCTCGGGAGCATGGGTCAATGAGCTGAGCTCCGTACTTTGGGCGTATCGCACAACTCCAAGGTCGACCACAGGAGAAACCCCGTTCAGTTTAGCTTATGGAATGGAAGCATTGCTGCCGGTCGAGATCGAGTTATCTTCCCAGAGGTTGAGCACGGATAATGCTGAACAGAACGAGGATCTGATGACGGTGGCCTTAGATACTATCGAGGAGCTGCGTGGGAGAGCAGCAATCAGGGTGGAGGCATACAAGCACAGGATGCGAGCCGCTCATGACAAAAAGGTGAAAATTCGTAGACTCCAGGTCGGTGACCTGGTTTGGAAGCGTGTCGATGTACTCAAGCTTGTGGGAAAGCTGGAGCCAAATTGGGAAGGGCCATACCTGGTCGAGCGAGTGCACGCTGGAGAAGCGTACTCACTCAAGGATGCCGAAAGCCGATCACTTGCCAGGTCATGGAACATAGCTAATCTGAAAAAAATATTATGTCTGAAAATTTTTGTTTTTTTTAAGAAGCCTGGGAGCTCGAACAATGATGTAGATTGC